AGTTTCATCCACCTCATTAGAACTGATTCAAATGTGTTCTTTTTAATGGCTGAGTAATATTCCACTGTGTATATGTACCACAGCTTTCTTATCTATTCATCTGCTGTTGGACATCTAGGTTGCTTCCATGGCCTGGCTATTACAAACAGTGCTGCGATGAACATTGGGGTACATGTGTCTCTTTCAGTTCTGGTTTCCTTGGTGTGTATGCCCAGCAGTGGGATTGCTGGGTCATATGGCAGTTCTATTTCCAGTTTTTTAAGGAATCTCCACACTGTTCTCCATAGTGGCTGTACTAGTTTGCATTCCCACCAACAGTGTAAGAGGTTTCCCTTTTCTCCACACCCTCTCCAGCATTTATTGCTTGTAGACTTTTGGATAGCAGCTATTCTGACTGACATGAAATGGTAACTCATTGTGGTTTTGATTTGCATTTCTCTGATAATGAGTGATGTTGAGCATCTTTTCATGTGTTTGTTAGCCATCTGTATGTCTTCCTTGGAGAAATGTCTGTTTAGTTCTTTGGCCCATTTTTTGATTGGGTCGTTTATTTTTCTGGAATTGAGCTGCAGGAGCTGCTTGTATATTTTTGAGATTAATTCTTTGTCAGTTGCTTCGTTTGCTATTATTTTCTCCCATTCTGAAGGCTGTCTTTTCACCTTGCTTATAGTTTCCTTCGTTGTGCAAAAGCTTTTAAGTTTAATTAGGTCCCATTTGTTTATTTTTGCTTTTATTTCCAATACTCTCTGGTAGGTGGGTCATAGAGGATCCTGCTGTGATTTATGTTGGAGAGTTTTGCCTATGTTTTCCTCTAGGAGTTTTATAGTTCCTGGTCTTACATTTAGATATTTCATTCATTTTGAGTTTATTTTTGTGTATGGTGTTAGAAAGTGTTCTAGTTTCATTCTTTTACAAGTGGTTGACCAGTTTTCCCAGCACCACTTGTTAAAGAGATTGTCTTTTCTCTATTATATATTCTTGCCTCCTTTGTCGAAGACAAGGTGTCCATGGGTGCATGGATTTATCTCTGGGCTTTCTATTTTGTTCCATTGATCTGTATTTCTGTCTTTGTGCCAGTACCATACTGTCTTGATGACTGTGGCTTTGTGGTAGAGCCTGAAGTCAGGCAGGTTGACTCCTCCAGTTCCATTCTTCTTTCTCAAGATTGCTTTGGCTATTTGAGATTTTTTGTATTTCCATACAAATTGTGAAATTATTTGTTCTAGTTCTGTGAAAAATACCATTGGTAGCTTGATAGGGATTGCATTGAATCGATAGATTGCTTTGGGTAGTATAGTAATTTTGACAATATTGATTCTTCCAATCCATGAACATGGTATATTTCTCCATCTATTTGTGTCCTCTTTGATTTCTTTCACCAGTGTTTTATAGTTTTCTATAAATAGGTTTTTTGTTTTTTTAGGTAGGTATATTCCTAAGTATTTTATTCTTTCCATTGCAATTGTGAATGGAATTGTTTCTTTAATTTCTCTTTCTGTTTTCTCATTGTTAGTGTATAGGAATGCAAGGGATTTCTGTGTGTTAATTTTATATGCTGCAACTTTACTATTTTCATTAATTAGCTCTAGTAATTTCTGGTGGAATCTTTAGGGTATTCTATGTAGAGGATCATGTCATCTGCAAACAGTGAGAGTTTCACTTCTTCTTTTCCAATCTGGATTCCTTTTATTTCTTTTTCTGCTCTGATTGCTGTGGCCAAAACTTCCAAAACTATGTTGAATAGTAGCGGTGAGAGTGGGCACCCTTGTCTTGTTCCTGATTTTAGGGGAAATGCTTTCAATTTTTCACCACTGAGGGTAATGTTTGCTGTGGGTTTGTCATATATAGCTTTTATTATGTTGAGGTATATTCCTTCTATTCCTGCTTTCTGGAGGGTTTTTTTTTTTAATCATAAACGGATGTTGAATTTTGTCAAAGGCTTTCTCTGCATCTACTGAAATAATCATATGGTTTTTATCTTTCAATTTGTTAATGTGGTATATTATGTTGATTGATTTGCGGATATTGAAGAATCCTTGTATCCCTGGGATAAAGCCCATGGATTCATGATATATGATCTTCTTAATATGTTGTTGGATTCTGTTTGCTAGAATTTTGTTAAGGATTTTTGCATCTATGTTCATCAGTGATATTGGCCTGTAGTTTTCTTTTTTTGTGGCAGCTTTGTCAGGTTTTGGTATTAGGGTGATAGTGGCCTCATAGAATGAGTTTGGAAGTTTACCTTCCTCTTCAACTTTCTGGAAGAGTTTGAGTAGGATAGGTGTTAGCTCTTCTCTAAATTTTTGGTAGAATTCAGCTGTGGAGCTGTCTGGTCCTGGGCTTTTGTTTGCTGGAAGATTTCTGATTACAGTTTCAATTTCTGTGCTTGTGATGGGTCTGTTAAGATTTTCTATTTCTTCCTGGTTCAGTTTTGGAAAGTTGTACTTTTCTAAGAATTTGTCCATTTCTTCCAAGTTGTCCATTTTATTGGCATATAGTTACTGATAGTAGTGTTTTACGATCCTTTGTATTTCTGTGTTGTCTGTTGTGATCTCTCCATTTTCGTTTCTAATTTTATTGATTTAATTCTTCTCCCTTTGTTTCTTGATGAGTCTGGCTAATGGTTTGTCAATTTTATTTATCTTCTCAAAGAACCAGCTTTTGGCTTTGTTGATTTTTGCTATGGTCTCTTTTGTTTCTTTTGCATTTATTTCTGCCCTAATTTTTAAGATTTCTTTCCTTCTACTAGACCTGGGGTTCTTAATTTCTTCTTTTTCTAGTTGCTTTAGGTGTAAAGTCAGGTTATCTATTTGACTTTTTTCTTGTTTCATGAGGTAAGCCTGTATTGCTATGAACCTTCCCCTTAGCACTGCTTTTACAGTGTCCCACAGGTTTTGGGTTGTTGTGTTTTCATTTTCATTTGTTTCTATGCATATTTTGATTTCTTTTTTGATTTCTTCTGTGATTTGTTGGTTATTCAGAAGCATGTTGTTTAGCCTCCATATGTTGGAATTTTAAATAGTTTTTTTCCTGTAATTAACATCTAATCTTACTGCATTGTGATCAGAAAAGATGCTTGGAATGATTTCAGTTGTTTTGAGTTCACTAAGGCTAGATTTATGGCCCATTATGTGATCTATCCTGGAGAAGTTTCCATGTGCACTTGAGAAAGAGGTGAAATTCATTGTTTTGGAGTGATATGTCCAATAGATATCAATTAGGTCTAACTGGTCTATTGTATCATTTAAAGTTTGTGTTTCCTTGTTAATTTTCTGTTTAGTTGATCTATCCATAGGTGTGAGTGGGGTATTAAAGTCTCCCACTATTATTGTGTTATTGTTAATTTGGGAAATAGAATCTATTTAGTGGTGTCTGCTTTAATGAATAAAATATTTAAATACTTATTTTATACTTTTGTTCTCAGAGGGATGTCTTATATCTGTTTATGAGTTATTCAAGGGCAGCTGCCTTGTAAGAATGTGCTTAACAATGTGTGCTTAGTCACTCAGTCCTGTCCGACTCTTGTGACCTCATGGGCTGTAGCCTACCAGGCTCCTCTGTCCATGGGGATTCTCCAGGCAAGAATACTGAGTGGGTTGCCATTCCCTTCTTCAGCCAATCTTCCCAACCCAGGCATTGAACCCTGGTCTCCTGAATTGCTGCCAGATTCTTTACCATCTGAGCCACCAGGGAAGCCTTGCCTTAAAAGAATATAACCATAATAACAGTTACCATTTATGGAGCACTTATATATAATAAGTAGTCTGCTAAAGTGCTTTTTATATATGTTCTCAGTTAATTGTTACAATACCTTTTGAGGAAGGTATAGGTAATATTCCTATTATATAGATACATATTTGTATATAAAAGGAAACTTCTGTTTAATTAAGTATCTTCCATAAAATCACATAGAAATTAAGTGGTAAAGCAGAATTTGAATAAAGTTATCTGATTTTAGAGCCAACTCTCTCTCCTTCTCTTTTTTGATCACACTGAATGACGTGTAGGATCTTAGTTCCCTGAACAGGGATCAAACCCATGCCCCCTGCAGTAGAAGCATGGAATCCTAACCACTGGACTTCCAGGGAAGTCCCTAGAGCCAGCTCTCTTAACCACCATATACTTTTACATTTGATATTTGCTGAAGGAAAGTTATGACCAACCTAGACAGCATATTAAAAAGCAGAGACATTACTTTGTCAACAAAGGTCTGTCTAGTCAAGGCTATAGTTTTTCCAGTAGTCATGTATGGATGTGAGAGTTGGACTGTAAAGAAAGGTGAGTGCTAAAGAATTGATGCTTTTGAACTGTGGTGTTGGAGAAGATTCTTGAGAGTCCCTTGGACTGCAAGGATATCCAACCAGTCCATCCTAAAGGAGATCAGTCCTGGGTGTTCATTGGAAGGACTGATGTTGAAGCTGAAACTCCAATACTTTGGCCACCATCGAAGAGCTGACTCATTTGAAAAGACCCTGATGCTGGGAAAGATTGACTGCGGGAGGAGAAGGGGACGGGACGACAGAGGATGAGATGGTTGGATGGCATCACCAACTCAATGGACATGAGTTTGGGTAAATTCCGGGAGTTGGTGATGAACAGGGAGGCCTGGTGTGCTGCAGTTCATGGGGTCGCAAAGAGTTGGACATGACTGAGCGACTGAACTGAACTACATAAATGAGCAATATTATGTATTTGTGTTGGCATTATTTACTATTCCACCTATACTAAAATAAATCAATGTTGTCTTTTACATAGTAACTATCTTCAGAGGATTCAAAAGATTGAATTCTCACAACACCCCTGAACAAGCTTGAAGGAGAAGAGAGGCTTGTTCGAAGTAATTCAGTGTCAACTTTCCCACCTCCTGCTCTAAAATAATACAGACAAAAAAGGGGGAGACTGATGTACATCTCAAGTTGATATTAGCCTGAGTCCTTTACTTGCAGAGGTGTGACATGAAAACATTTTGTTAACATCTTGACTACCCATTTTTGTTGCAGGAGGCCGAGGGAAAGATGGTGCCCCCATCATCACTTTTCCAGAGTTTGTGGGGTTCAAGCACATCCCAGATGAAGACTTCCTGAATGTCATGACCTACCTAACTAGTGTCCCCAGGTGAGCTGAACACAGTACTCTGCTGCCTTCCTTGTCACTGGGTTTATCCTGAATTCCCCATGTGATAGTACCGGGTTGGGATGGGATCTTCCATGAGCCCAGCTCACACTGCTGTGTTATGGCCAATTTCACTTATCCATCAGTCAAAACAAGGGATGTGGAAAGAGACTAGAAAACAAAGTTACAAGAGCATCAGTTTTATTATGGTGTGCACATATGAAGTACTTAATAAAATTGTTAAGTGAATGAAAAATTGATTGACTAGCTAATGCTGATTTTGTTCCTTCAGGTTCATTGCTCTAGATTAAGGTGATCCTGGTTTCCTGGGGCCTGTTGTCTAAGACACCTGGCTTCTGCTCAAGAGGCTCAAGCCAAGTTAGGAGTCACTTCATTTATTTCCCCTAAATAAAGAATTTAAGGGTAGATTTTATGACTATCATTGTCAGATGGAAAAAGTAAGGCACAGAGCAAGGAAACTAAAAGTCCAGAAATAAAAACTGTGCCTATAGCTGAGATCAAAAGAGATATTTTGGGGCATCTGCTACTTCTACCCTCTCGGGCCCAGGTCTCACATATTTATGCCACTAAGTCAATAAATAGCCACATCTCCTAGGGATGGAAAGTGGGACAGAATTCATATTGGTGATAAATATTTCACAGACAGAGGTGAAGCTGACTGTGGAGTCCAAACTCCCTGGGAGCAGACTTAGCCCATAAAGGCCCTACCTTCCATGGGTCTGTGTCGCTTATGATACTGTTACTTAAATGCTTTGTGGTTAAGAGTTTACACAACAGCCAGGGGTGTGCTGTTTTGCTTGCTTTCCATCTGCTCCATATGATTTAGAGGTAAACTCGATGATTGAAAGTCTACCTGGAGCCTGATCCCACCTGCAGAGATTAGGAAGCTAATTAGTTTGCTTTAACCAAACCCACTTTAAGAGATATTTTGTTTTGTTTTTTTTTCACCCTTCTTTCTCCTTCAGAGAAAGCTATGGATTTATTTTTAGTGCATTTCTTCAAAGATCAGTGCTTAAATTACATTTTACCTTATTCTTTATCTCTGATACAAGAGTATTGTAGACATTATATAGACAGGAGAGGATTTGGGCTTTGTTGGTTTGAGAAAGGATGCTGTACATCTCTGGGCTTTGCTTACATGGTTCTCTCTGCAGGAACACCTCTGTCACCCTTCTGGGCCTGTCTGACTCTTGCAAAATCATCAGCCCTCAGTTTGATCTCATTTCTTCAAGGAAATTTGCCCTGACCCCAATTCTGCTCTCACAGACTCTTTATTTCCACAGACTCTTTATTTCCACAGTACCCCTTGTATAACGCCATGGTATATGGAAATTATTTCTGTGTCTCCTATTAGACTGTGAACTACTCAAGAATAGGGGCCAATGCTTCTTTTCTTTTTTTTCCTTCTAGCCCAGCACATGGTAGCTTCTCAAGAAGTAATGTTGGTGGAATTTCCAGTTTCGATCTGGTTCATTTCAATCAAAGGGTGTTTGTTATACCGTGAGAAACAGGTCACTGAGAGACGGAGGGGAACCCCACTTCTTACTCCTGCCTTTTCCTCCCAGGGTTATAGGGAGTTGAACTTGGTCTCCCTCTTTGGCTCAGTTGCCTTCCAGAACATTGACCTATCAGTTTAGCAACTTCTGTGAGGAGCAACATGCAAGAGGGTGAGCAGGGAAGTGGGTAAGAGGTAGAAGTGCCTCTTCCCCATTATCATTATATTGCTTTAAACTTACAATCTAATTTTACTGACTCAGTGGATGGAGTCATATGCTAAATTAAATGGGTCATTTTCATATTGTATTTGCAACCTTTCCTGAGTCACCACACTGAGGACCAGACATTGAGTGCCACATGACCCAGTGTGGAAGGAAAGCATTAAGCGGTAGAAACCCTATCTCACAGGCGAAAAAAAAAAAAAAAGAAAAATCAAGAGGCTACTGTTTGAGCCTGATTTACCTTTTCTGCTCTATGCTCTTGTATAATTTCTTATAGACTTGGGAGTATTTTCCTTTCCTAGAATGCAGTTTGTCTCTTGAGAAAGAGTAACTGTCTGACCAGTTATTCCCCTTTTCTTCTTCCTGGCATTTGTTCATACTAGCTCACTGCCCCACCCCTTGTTCCTTTCAACATAAAACAGAGATAATGAGTAAGAAGGCCTGAAAGGAGAATTTGACCTGAACTTTGTTTCCCAGTTGCCATTTCAGGTTCCAAAGAATGAAACCACTCTTGTTCCTTTTTATGGCTGGTATTTATCACAGTTTGCATCTTCCTAAATGTCACAATGGTTACCAGACACCAGAACTTTTCCCAGGTTGCACAATGGTTTATAGGCAGGTGGCATGACATACAACAAGGAATGTATGCACAACTGATGCACTAGAAGAGGAGAAAGACAGGATGCTCAGGGCAGGGAAAGGAGAGCTCTGTGCCTGAAATTAATATGAATCTCTCATTGTGGTTGGGTTGGGTGAGTGCTGAAAGGCTTCCCACAGCTCATTTTTTATCAGATCTTTGCTGAATGCCATCAGTGTGTAGAGAGGTATGTTAGGTGCCATAAAGGACCACAAGACCATACAACAATATCTTGAATCTCACATGACTCTGTTGTTATGATATGTTGTGAAATATGTGAAGAAAATGCTATAAGGGCTCAGAAGAGAGAAGAAGCACTTCAGACAGGAAAAAACAAAGAAAGCTTCAGGAGTGAAGTGTCCTTGAAGGATGGGTGAGATTTCCACATATAGATCAGCGAGGGACATTCCAGAGAGAGAGAACAGGGTGGTGTTTAAGAACTTTGGACACAGCTCAAACCTGGATTGAAATCCAGATTCTATGGTTGCTAGCTGTGTGATCTGGGGTAGGTGACTTGACTTCTATTTCCAACCCCCTGGATTTTGAAGTTTTAAATAGAGCTTGTTTAGGGAATTACAGACTATCGAGGTTGTCCATAACAGGGTGAGGATCCTTTTCAGATAGTAGTGAGAAATGAGACCTGGATAGACAGTTGGGAACAGATTGGGCAAGGTGTTTTCCATGATGCTAAGAAGTTCAGGCACAGTGAGCAAGACCGGGCCATTGGACATTCTGAGGAAGAAAAAATGGCAACCAGATGAATGTGGTGGTGGTGTGCAGGATGGACCAGAAGGAGTGGAGGAAGGGTGGAATTAGGGGCTTCTGCCCTGTTGTTGTTCAGTCTCTAAGTCGTGTCTGACTCTTTGTGACCCCATGGACTGCAGCATGCTGAGCTTCTTTGTCCTTCACTATCTCCTGGAGTTTGCTCAAACTCATGGTTATTGAGTTGGTAATGCCATCCAACATCTCATCCTCTGTCACCCGCTTTTCCTCCTGCCTTCAATCTTTCCCAGCATCAGGGGCATTTCTAATGAGTTGGCTGTTTGCATCAGGTGGCCAAAGTATTGGAGCTTCAGCTTCAGCATCAGTCCTTCCAATGAATATTCAGAGTTGATGTCCTTTAGGATTGACTGGTTTGACCTTTTTGCTGTTCAAGGGACTCCCAAGAATCCTCTCTAGCACCACAGCTCAAAAGCATCAATTCTTTGGCACTCAACCTTCTTTGTGGTCCAGCTCTCACATCCATACATGACTACTGGAATAGGTGCAAAGTGAAGAAGGGATGAGCTGCTGAGGGCAAGAGGACTAGACAGAAGGGGATGGATGGAAAGAACAGGCACTGGGGACTGGTGGAGGGGGGAAGGAGAGTGAGGAACCAGCTGTGATCCTTAGCTTTAGGAATTCTATTCACAATCAGATCTTTATGCTTTTACATGTCTAGGCACATGGAATTGAGGTCTCATTTTAAACATGTCTTCAGTGGCTCCAGATTGTAGCTGAGTGGTTTGAAAAGGCATTAGTAAAATATTCTGAGGCACAGAAATGGCCGACTTTTTTAAAATTCCAATTGCTTTTCTAAAAATCATATTTGTATAACTAAGCATACATTTTTATTACCCTACCCTCTGTTTGGTTTCTTTGTTTTACTCACAGTTATGTGTTCATTACTTGAGAGGGATTGGAGAAGATACTTTTATTAGATAGAAACAAGAGCCATATTTCATAACTGTGAATTTTATGATTATTTACTATTTCTAAAGGTCTTTTTCTATAATGAATCTGCTGAGAAGCCTATTTAAGTTTGAAAAATTTTTCCATGTCCATTTTCCTCCCATAGAGTCTGATGAATAGTCCTTGAGAAGACTCATATCCTCTTTTATGATATGCTGTCTCATAGAATGCTGTCTGACATTTCTACTTTGAGAGGAGGGGAGGAGGACAGCATTATTATTTGGCCTGTGAATTCTAAAGAGACTTGTTCCTTTGTATTGAAAGACTGAATGGGATTATAACAATCTGTCAGCTTTAAAAACCAGCCTTATCAGAGAAGTGAGTTTGATCTGGGCTTCTTACTATTATGAAAGCAGTGGAAAAAGTCCCTGATTTAAAGTAGTTTTAAATACTATAAATAGGAAAAGTGCTGCTTTGATTGAGTAGCTAAAGTAAGATGTGTCTTTTCCTGGTCTGGCTGTGGAATTGCTCCCCCATATCAGGAAAATGGAATCATTCATTTGACTCCTAGGATAGAGGTTCAGAGTTGGGAGTCTTATTGGGCTGTGTTCTGTACAAACAAGATGGGTGAATTTGCTTCAGAGCCCTCTGGAAGGATACCTTGGGAGACCAAACCTTAGGCACACAAGTGAGGCTCAAAATTAGAGCACATCCCATAGATTTATTATGAATAAATGTTTGACATTGGCAAGCAAGTCTTATATACTAGGAGGATTTGAATGGATTATATTAGACGATAAGAAAAAAATTTAATATGCCTGTTTCCTGTTCTTCTTTATGTAAGAACCAGGGAGTCTGACATTTCTCCCTAGTAGAATGACTTAGTGTGTATAAGACATTTGTTCTTTTGTTTAGGTGATTGTTTTATAATACTCTGCTATATTCTGCCTTTTTGT